TCACCTCGACTCTCCTCTGCCTCAGTCGCGCCCGCCGCTCGCGCTTCAGTGATGGCGGTATTGATTTCGATGAGAGCACGCGTCGCTGCAGCTTTCTCGAGCATGCGCGCTAAGTTCTTCTCCGACCCCGGCGAATCCAAATACTTCGCTGGGTCCTGCAATTGACCTAAGATCTCCCCGGCCCGCAACATACGTGGTCGAAGGGATAGGTTGGCGACCGGCACGAAAGGAGAGTCTTGCTCTATGAGGGTATTCGGTACCGCAAAAGCGGGTTCGAGCCCTGCATTGAGCAGTCCTTTATCCAACATCCAGACGCGATCGTCCCGGAAGGGAGCGCGTACACGCACTTTCACTACCCCGCCGGCGGGTACGCGAACTGAATCCGCTACGCGCACCAAACGAGCGCCATGTCCGAAGTATCGAGTGTAAGGTAACCCCTTCTCGCTGCGGTAGGTTAGTCTCTCTTTCCGCGGAGCGGGCGGCTTGCTTCGGCGAGAACGCGGCGCGGCGCGACGCAAGGTTTCAGGAGTAGGCGGCCAGGTTATCGAATACGCTCGCTTGGCCACTTCGTCCACGACGGCCTCGCGCACGGGAGCGGCCTCGACTACATATGGCAGACCGTCGAAGGATAGAGCGGCCCGACCGTCTTTGCGAGCGACACCGACATTGTACAGGCGTTGGAAATCCTCTCCGAGGAGTAGCGGTGCGGTCATGTTACGCACGACATAAGCTTCCAGCGAGAATTGTAGTACGTCGCCCGAGCGAGTACGCACGTGCACCGGTACGGTCACATACCCTAATATCTTGACGTCGCTGGATGTTAACTGCACAAGTTGGAGCCGCATACCGCGCTCGATCGGAGGCGCAAGCGCCCCTAACGAGTCGTAGAGGGCTTCACTCATGAGAGATAAGTTCGCGCACGAGTCGAACCGTAGGTCCACCATAGGTCCGTCCGGGGAGCATAGCCACCCTTCCGACATGAGGACTGGTACTCCCTCGGCAGCACGTCCCGGAGTTGGCTCGCGACACTTAGGCATGACCACTATCGCATCGGTTTCTGCCTTTCGTTTAGGAGGAGAAGAATGCGAGGTCAGAGCCACAGCCTCCGAGGGCGGGCCAAACTCTACGCAGTCCGCTTCCACTAGCAGGGCAGGATACCACTCAGGAAGAGGATCGAGATCAAGTTCGGGCTCACTGATTACCTCGACCGGTACTCGCGATGGCGTCGGGGGTCGATCCGTGTAAGCCGCGTAAGCTTCCTGAATCGAATCACGCGCGATATAGTTGGAAAGAACATAGTCATTGAGCAGGGCAGCGTAGATACTACGATAGTCAGATTCTTCTTCGTACGGGCGATCTTCAAAGTGCATGCTGACGTGAGCAGCCTTTTTAGCGTTGAAGACCTCGGCATGCGGGCATTCGCGATCCCAGTGTTCGGGACTGCCACAGTACTTGCACGGCGAGGGCGGCTTGCGCGCTAAACGCGTCTTGACGTCGTCGCGCCTTTTGAACGGGTATCCTCCTGCCGGAGGAGGTCTTTGGCGCTTCTCGATCGCAGCATACACCTCCCAGATCCCGTCGGGCAAGCCACTGCCGTCTCCGGCGGGCTCGCCTTCAGGCGCAGAGTCGGAACCGGCGACCTCAGCGTCATGAGCATGCTTCTGGTCTGAGTCGCGGTCCCGGTTATAGCGGGGGAACCGACGCCGATCGTCACTGTCATGACGCGAGCGGAAAGACGGAGGAGGGTCTCGACGAAGGCGGTTCAGACCCGCTACTTCCATGAGAGCGGCTTTAGAGGCTCGTGCTTCGCGTATGAGATCGGCCGTACTCGTGAGCGTCTCGTGGTGTAGCAGAGCGCGCCACCCAGGAGGTGCCGTGGCCATGACCGCCATGATTTCCTCGCGGCCGTCAGCGGGAATGTTCATCACGACCCGGCAGGTCGCTATGCGACGGAGGAGGAACCCATCCGCTTCTTCGTACTCGTGTCCGCGATCGCGGAAGCGCATGTACTGGAACTTCAGCTGTTGGTCGCTGATCCAGGACTCGGTGAGACAGTGCGTCTTCAGCGTCTGTACCCAGTTAGGTACGCTGCTCAACGCAAAGTCGCGTACGGCCGCGGTGGTAGTCTCCCACCAGAAAGCCGCAGGCGAATTGTCCGCCAAGCGCCAAGCTAGCCAGACCGGTAGTGCGTCCTCGACAGCTTTGCCCAGCAGCCGTATGCGTTCGATGCTGCGTACGTACTCGATAATCTTGTTCGCGTCACCGTCCCAAGAGGGGAGCTGCTCAGGCTTGATTTTGTTGTCTATGTAGACAGCTCCCGGGTCGCGCTCGGTGAACGCACTCTGACCTTGCCCTCGGAAAGCATTGAAGTTGCCGCCCCCCGCTCCGCCTCCGCCGCCTCCTCCGCCGCCGCCGCCACCGCCACCGCCACCGCCGCCGCCGCCACCGCCACCGCCGCTGC